TTAGAATCATGAATGGACGCCCTAACCTCACTTTAAGCTAAACAGTAATTGATATTCCATTACTTTTGTTGATTTGCTTTAAAATTAACAAATTGGAAATTAAATAACATTGCTAACAACTCGTTCGAGAATATTCTTCTATACCATCTGGGGGTCTTAATGGCAACGTGCTTCTGCCCCGGCAACTTTATTTCCATGGCTGCAGCTGTTGCTGCACACCACGATTTCTTACCGTTCTGTGAGCGCACAGAAGCGCCGGACTGCCGTGTGCCTGCGATGGATAAGGGACTTGCCAATGTCGACATGTTTCGTCTGTGTTGTGCGACTTTTAATAAAAATTTTATAAAAATTAATCACGCACTGCTACTGATTTCAGTGAAAAATTGCCGCACGCTAAACCGCCTGACTCACAGTTAGTGATGTATTTCTTTACGATATATCGGTAAACAGCAATCGATTTAGGCTGCTAAAAGTTGATGTATGTTATGTTTAAATTGAAGGTAAAATAATTGTTAATCAATATACAACAAATATGACATTAGATTCAAAAGCTATTATTTGTATACTTTAAACAGCATTTTTAACTTTAATCATAGGGAAATTGCTATTTGGCGGCTTTCACCATTTAAATTTTTGTAGTGCTGCAAAATGCGGCAAGTGAAATAAAAAGTGATTTTTATTGAATTTAAATACATAATCGATAGTCAATGATCAGTAAAAGAAGATTATTCGATATAAGTTTACAAAACCGCGGCAAAAACAACAAAAGTTGTATTTGTTATTTCTTTTTAATAAACCGTTTTTTTAGTAGTGGTGTGTAATCAATATATAAAATGAGTACAACGCCAACAAAAATACACACAGTTGCCGGAGAGTACAAGACACCAAAGAAACAGAAAAATGCAACACGGCGTATAAAATCGGCTGATTTAGTGAACTCCGACGGTTCAAGTGCCGCTGAGCCCGAAGAGCAGACACGCACACGACGCTCCACTCGCAGACCGAGCCCCACTAAGAAATATAAAGAGTACAAGGCCAAGTCCGGTGGTCAGCGTGTCGTCGATTGTGCGGAGGATGAGTCCCAGTCTGAAGAAGATGATGAAGAAGAAGAGAACATAGGTGCCGCAAAGCCGAATTCACGGGATCTGCACCTAATACAGGCCGACTACAATGTAGCTGGCACAAGCTTATTCGGCTTCAATACGCCCAAGAAGCGCGATGCTATGGCATTAGCTGCACTTAATGCCACGCCCAGCACTCCGAAGACCCCAAAGACGCCACGGCTGGGTGTCAAGACTCCAGATACGAAACGCAAAAAGGCAGATCAGCCGAAGACTCCAGCACACGTCAGAACTCGGGTTAAACAACGTGCGTCGAGCTTGGCATTCCATTTCATTGATGATCTAAGCACATTTTTTCTATTTTATTATAGAGATTGCCAAAATTGTGGCTGACTCCGATGAGGACTTCTCTGCGGATGACAGCGACTTTCGTCCAAGCGACGACAATTCCTCGAGTAGCAGCAGCAGCAGTGAAGACGGTGCCAGTTCTGAGAACGATGGCGCTGACGATGAGTCCAAAACGCCATCAAAGGCCCGTCGCGCCATAGTTGTGCCTGTGCTGCCAAAGACGCCATCGGCCGCTCGCCAGCGGCAATCAGCGCGAGTGAAGAGATCGAATGAGTTTGTGCCCGAGAGCGATGGCTACTTTCACTCTCATGCCAGCAGCAAGATTCTCACGTCGGATCACACCCTGGATCGCTTGAAGAATCCACGATTAGCCGCGGATCGTTTGTTCAGTCTGCTGGCCGATATGAAGGTCTCCCCAGAGCACGAGATGGCCATCAATGCCATTATGGAGGAGTATCGCTCGTACTTTGCCAAATGGATGTGCATTCTCAACGAGGGCTTCAACATTCTGCTCTATGGCCTCGGCTCAAAGCGGCAATTGCTGCAATCCTTTCATCGTGAGATTCTCGCCCAGCAAACGGTATTAGTGATCAACGGCTTCTTTCCCAGCCTGACTCTGAAGGATATCTTAGACAGTATTACCAGCGAGATTCTAGACGCTGGCCCGAGTCCAGCCAATGCACACGAGGCCGTCGACATGATCGAGGAGGAGTTTGCACTAATACCCGAAACACATCTCTTTCTGATCGTTCACAACCTAGACGGCGCTATGCTGCGTAATGTCAAAGCTCAAGACATTCTATCCAGATTGGCACGCGTAAACAACATTCACCTATTGGCCTCGATTGATCATATCAATACACCTTTGCGTAAGTAACTGCAGTTTATATCCAGTAAGAGAAGCAGAGAGAGCATTGACGGCATATATTCTTGAACAGCTAGACTCAACAGACTCTACTGCATTGGATGAGTCAGAGATGTTTCCTCATTGCTCACACGGGTATCCCCTAGTCGAGCATGCCATCTCCTCCCAACCTTTAACTACTAATTCCTCCTCTTCGCATTTTCAGTTTGGGACCAGAACAAGCTGAGCAACTTTAACTTCTCCTGGTGGGACTGCACCACCATGCTGCCCTACACGGACGAGACGGCCTTTGAGAACTCATTGCTGGTGCAGAACTCTGGCGAACTGGCGCTGTCTTCGCTGCGCAGCGTCTTCTCCTCGCTGACGACGAACTCGCGCGGCATTTACATGCTGATTGTCAAGTATCAGCTGAAGAACAAGGGCAATGCCAACTATCAGGGCATGCCCTTCAAGGACCTCTACTGGAGCTGTCGCGAGGCCTTTCTGGTTAGCTCCGACCTGGCACTGCGCGCCCAACTGACAGAGTTTCTGGATCACAAACTGGTCAAGTCGAAGCGCAGTGTGGATGGCTCCGAGCAGCTGAACATACCAATAGATGCCTCGCTCCTGCAACAGTTTCTCGACGAGCAGGAGAAGAAATAGGCGCAGCATATTTAGAACATATTAATTTATTATCTAATTTGTTAAATACAATTACAATATGTCACTTTAAAAATGGTTTTGCTTCTGGTTCGCCCGTGTTGTAACCGCCCTCACCCCGCCCCAGTTTTACTATTTAGTTCTATTACATATGCATACATATATATATGCTAATATATATATAAGTACTCGTACTCTCGTTCCCAGTTGCTTTCTTCAATTTTTTATTGTTTTCTACACATTTAGATTGGCATGCATAAAAATGTTGTCTCCTTAGTAGCTTTAATATGTTTTTTGCATTTTGATATTTGAACTAAACAAACTTTCGCACAGCAATGCGCCTCCTCAGCCGATCCGTCACTCAATCAATCAATCAATCAATGTCACAAATTTCAATTAGTTTCATATGCTGCTGTGCCAAACATTGTTCAGATTTATATTGTGCATTCGTATTGGAATCATAAATAACTATTGCTAAATGTATTTACAAATTTTGTTGTTGTTTCTTTCTTGTTACCTAGCCCCAAAATTCTAGCTGAATGCAGCGGCGTTAAGTTAGGTTCGATTTCTCTTGATCTTAACAAAATTTGAATAGTATTTATTTATTAATTTATTTGTAGTTGTTATGGATTATCACTTTTTAGTTTATTCGTTCGTTCGTTCGTTTGTTCCTTTGTTCTGCTGAAAGAGAAGAAAGTCTTGACTAGACTCGAGTCATCTAAAACGCTATATATATACGTATATATCTAACCTTGATCCAGTAAAACTTGCTCATGTTGTTGTTGTTGTTTTTTGCTTACTATACACAGAGTGCTACAATTTGTTTTTATTTGAAGTTGTTTTCTCTTAAGAGTTTTTGTTTGTTTTGTTTTGTTTTTTACAAGAAATAAAGATTGCATTAAATACTTAAAATAATTAAAAAAAACATTAAAATTTATTGTTGTGGTTTTTTAACGAACAGAGAAGAGGTTTACAATTTGTTGTTGGTGTTGGTGTTGTTGCTGTTGTTGCTGTTTAGTAAAATACAAAAATAATAAAAACGTTTCGAATGCTGGCTTCTCTTGAATTGAATTAGCAGAGTTTACATATACACAATATATAAATCAACTTCATTATCATATCCGTATCATTATGCATTAGTCATACTCATCGAATATACATCACAATCAAAGTGTACGCTTTGTAATATAATAATATAGTTATACAATAATAATAATAATAATAATCATAATCATAATTCATAATAATAATTATAATAGTTATGCAATTTATTATTTTTCGTTTATGTTTATGTTTGCCTTTCTTTTCGTTACATCATCATTATCATTATCATTATCATCTTCTACATCTACTTCTCCTTATGCACACTTTATTCTTATTGATTTTGTGTTGTTTTCTCTGTTTTTTTGTGTTTTTTACTTGATTGATTTTTTTTTTTTTTGTTTTTTGTTTTTTTTTTTTTAGTTTTATTATTGTTTATTTATTTTACTTTTACTTTAATTGGTTTTTCTTTTTTGTTGCTGTTTTTTTCTTTTTTATTTCATCTTAAAATTAAGCATTAATCATAAATCATAAATCAACAAAATAAAAATATTACATTTATCAAGTGTTTGCAAATTAAATTACTCGATATTGAAACAATAAACGGCATATAGAATGCATGTTGTTGTGGCTTAAGCCAGTTGTTGTTGTTGCTGTTGCTATTGGTGTTTATATTATTTGTGGCTGCAATTATTATTATTATCAAAAAATTCATATGCAGGCAACATTCGAAATGTTCTTTACAATTGTTGTTGTTATGGATAGCAGTATTTGTAGACTTGATCAAATTAAACAACAACTGCATGCATCTTTGAAAATGAATTTCACTATAGTTGTTGTAGCTATGATTAATAGTTGCTCTTGTTGTTGCTGCTGCTGTTGCAGCATAGCACATGAGTTGCTTGATCGAATTAACAATTGGCATGCCACGTTTTAAATCTATTTTACAATTGTTGTTAATATTATTGTTATTATTGTAGGTATTGTTGTTGTGGTTCTTGTTGTTGTTATTATTATTGGTGTTGCTGTTGTTGCTGCTTGTTGCCGTTGCATTTAGTGTTACATGATTAGCTGCTGGATTAAGGTTTCAGCTCATTTTCACGCGTTTCCTTGGTGGTCCAATTGGTGGGATTTGTTGTGTTGCGAGCGCACGAAATGCCTCCGCTATCAAATGTGAATGTGTCGTAATCATATTTTGCCAGCCAGTGGTTTCCATCACATCGGTGGCATGACTGTAAATGAGACAACAATTAGTCACAGTCAAGACAAAGCTAAAGCAAACACTTACGTATTAATGAAATCTATCGTTTGTGCTTTCAATTGATCCGCACTATGGAGATCAGCTAATATTAACGTTTCGGCTGCTGTTTCAACAGAGAGATTGACGCACAGCGCCTCCTCGCACATCACTTTCAGCTTTTCGAGTGCATACTGTAACAGTAGATAGAGAGACATACAACAATTAGTTACAATGATGAGATAAATGGGCTGATCAAATAACAAATTCAGCTGTTTTAGCTTAGCATTTAGCATTCAGCATTCAGCTATTCAGCCATTCAGCATGGATTGAATTTTTCACCTTATCAGCAGCCGCTAAGAGATCATCAGCCATTTTTTCTAGATTGGACGCCTTGCCCGTGTATATGAATCGCAGCATCTCTTTGAGCACCTCATGATCCACATCGGTTATGGCGACACGATTCAGCTTACGCTCCTCCATTTCGTGCTCAAACATGGCAGCAAAGACATCGCTGCGCGCTGCACACGGCGGAGAGAGAGAGAGGAATTTATTAGATTCTGGATCAGATCAGAGAGATATATCTTCTATATTTACCTGCCAATATGGCTTTGTGCGCTTGAAATTCTCGACCGCCCACAGAGAGCGTGACATCGCTGAATTTCTCATTGTCAAAGAGATTGCCAAGGTCTTCGGAGAGTTTGCACTCGGGCACTTTGAACTGCACTATGTTGGATTGTCCCGAGATGTTGACGCTATCCGCCACCACGCTCACCTCGCAGAAGATGGTCAGCTTGTCCTCTGGCAACAGGCCATTGGCCTCGTCCAGGAGAAAATCGCGACGTATAAATTTCTTAAAGCCCCAATCCTTCCCCTGAACAAAACGATATGCGCTGCAAAGGTATGGAAGTATCGAATTGATATAGTAAAACATTCTGATATCATCTGGAATCATGCGAGTTACTAACCGTTGGGATTCCATGGCTTTGGTTTCCTCACGTTTTGCGTTTAATATGGAAAATTTGAACTTGGCTCTGACTTCAGATTTGTTACACGATACTAACAGTAAATATAATGATAAGTAATCCTTGCTCTCCTCATCTAGACCCTTGGGATTTACCCGTAAACACCTAAGCGAAGCAGAAGATATATCAAGTTAGTCAGAGTATAATGTGAGATATATACATAGTATATATCATATATCTAAATCCAACTTTACTTACCATTTCAGTTTGTCATTAGCACCCGCTGAGAATGTGGAAGATTTGAGAACTTCACCCATTTCTTCCCGACAAAAACTAAAGTTATTTATGGTCCACATATAACTAAATTTAACCACTTTGACCTGTAAATGAAACGAATGAATGAATGAATGATGATTCGATTTTTAATGTATCAAGATAATATTCATACTAGTCTTTCATAGAGATAGATTACTTTACATTTTCTGAGTTTGCAAATCTGATTTCTTGGAGGAATTAAGAACGTTTTGAATCAAAGTATGCATATATATTGGCTTGCTCTACGACTTTCTGTTGATCTTCAATCAATCCACCAAAACCATCTAGAGAACATTTACTCTTTAGTATATGGTTAGTCTACCAGCTAAACTCAGTCATGGGTCAATGAATGCTATTTGCACTTGGTTTCAGTTTTGGCTTGGCTTGAAGCGCACACCTGCGTAACGAGCGGAAATGCAGTTTCCACAAAGCTGGATTCGGCTTACAGAAATGAAATTCGAGCAGAGCTCTTAAGGAAAATCCATAGTAATGCAAAGAAAAATGCATACAGAAACTGAAACCTAATCCGCAGGCAGATGAGCCAGGCGTACAGGGACAAAGAGGGCATCGATAAACGGTAATCGTTAATCGGGTGTCGGGTTATCGGGTGTCGGGCGCCTTACCTGCGTGTAACACCAGTTCTCAGCGACTGGCGTATTTACTTCCGGCAGGGGCGGCGAGGGTACGCGGCTGACCGCCATTGTGCTACTGGATGCGTGCAGGTTCGAGGTGACTCTAGCTGTTTGGCTTGCCTGACATTCGTTAACCGGCAATCTGCAAGAGGAAACACAGAGGTAGGAATTAGTATAAAGTGTGGTTAGATTGAATTGCAATTATATATATGAAAATTTAAAATATATTATATGATTGAGCACCTTGGCTCTTGCAGTATCTCCATGATGCTGCGCTCGAACTCAATCTTGACGAAGCGACTGTCCGATCTGGAGTGTCTGTCCAAGAGATTGAGCAGCTTCAGCAGCAATGAGTTCTCCAGCTTGAACACACTCACGCATACAATGCGCCCACGACAGAAGAACACGAAATTAAACTAAATTCTTTCTTATTTAAAACAAATTGTAACGGGACGGAGACGAAACACACGAGGCACGGGCACAGGCACAATGAAGAGACGAGATCACAAAGCAAAATGCGCCAAAATCTGCACTGCGCATAATTGCGAATAAGACGCGTGCGCAAAGCTGAGCATTAACCGTTATCCCTCCTCAACTGAGTGGGAGAGTAATGAAAGAGAGCGAGCACTAAGCTCTGAGAGCGCTCACTAAAAAGCTTTTCTTGCTACGATTGCCTGACTTAAGGAGTGAGCAAAGAGCGCGAGCTGAGTTATATCTGCTATTAGCAGTCGATGAGTCGATGAGCGATGCAGGCGCGACTGTTCAGCCAAAGCAGCAAATTGTAACTAAACGCTGAAACTCTGAAACCGTTGTGTGGGCTGCCAAAATTAAAGGTAAATCTGGCAAGACGGCCAACACGGATGCGTCACAGGATGCTGAGACAAGAATAAGTCACAGGCAGAGCCTGCAGATGACAGCAAACAATAGACCAAAAATTGTAGCCAAGAGTGGAAAATTGACAGCAAACAATGGGCGGGCGAGAGATAGAAAGAGGGAGAGAGAGAGAGAGAGATTAAGAGAGAGGGAGGATCTGCTACAGCTAGACAAATAACAAAGAGACCTCTGGGCGCAGATGCAGCAACATTTTTATATACAATTAAGCAAAGAAAAACACGGAAAAATCTCTACAAGGCTGAATGAGATTTTCCTAAGAGTTGCCACGAAATGTTCACTGCTCAGCTGCCGCTGCCCGTCGCCCGCTACCCGCTGCCCGCTGCTCTGCCATGGCCATCCGAATCGCTTGAAAAGGACCTTCAATGCGCCTGTGTGTGACAGCGCGTGCGTGTGTTAAAAGGTTGACGCGAATTTTATCAAGGTGAACAAACCGTAAAACAGCATCGGAAACAGTTGCCAGCAGCAACCAGCCGCAGCAGTAGCAGCAGAAATAACAACAGAAATAACAAGCAGCTGCGCAGTCAGCGCCGACGCCGACGTCAATCATGCGGGGCAGTCAACCGCCGAGTCGTCGTCGCCGTCGGGTTTAGTACCTTCAAGTAGCTTTATACAATTTTTAGTGAGTGTGCTTTAATGTTAATGACATTGATTTGGCATTGAACGAAACACGCACACTCACATACACACACTCACACGCCAACAGAAACAAACACCTGCTCAGCACAAGCTACTGTCCGTCTCTCTTACGCTTTTTGCGCTCTCTTTTTTGCTCTGCTGCGGCTGCGGCTGCTGCTGTTGCTGCTTCTGCTGCGAGTACTGCTGCGGTTGCTGAAGGGCTCGAGTCGAAACTTTTTGTTTATTATGACATTGGAAATGTTCAGCTCAAACATGGTTTGGCGTCGTCGGCGCCACAAGGCAAAGCCCATGGCGCACAAGTTCGTAGTTAAGGTTAAGCTCTGCGGGCTAGGGAGGGGGAGAGCGTAAAGCTAAGCCAAAGTGATTTTCAGGCAGCCGCAGTGCACAGTTAAAGCTCACGATGATTAATGAGTTACAGCAAACGGCGAGAACTCCCAGCGCGTGAGCAATGACTCAGCACTCGAGCTGATTAGGCTGGACCCAAACTACTTAACGAAAAAAAACTGAAATAGCACAATATACTCATATATTAATCGGGAATTCTTGGACAAAGCAAATGCTTGTTGAATGTTGGTATTACTGATATATAATAACAATATGTAAAATTCTATTTAAGTAACCATAAGCGCCTATCTACAATCTATCATAACGAATCTTTACTGTACTCAGCTCAGCTGCTTATTTTTAGGTCCAGCCTTTTCATGCCCTTTGTCTACTGTGCTGCCGCTGCTGCAGTCGCAGTTGCGGTCGCTGCCGTCGCCGTCGCCGTCGCCGACGCCATGGACAGCTGAATCGAATGCATTTGGTCATGGACACGCTGCCAAGGCAGCACCTTGAGTGATCTTAACCGTAGCACAGAATGCTTCCATTCAATTGTGCGGGCACAGCAGAAAGAGAAATAGAGAGAGGGAGAGGGGAATGAGAGACTGGCAGGTCAACAAAGCAAAGAGAATTTATGACAAAGAGCAGCACGTGTTAAGCTGCGCATTATAAATCGGCTTAGCTGCCCTGAGCAAAGAGAGTAGGAGAGGAAGGGATGGGCAAAGCCGAACGCGAAGGAGTACAAAATGAAAAGGCAAACAAAAGAAAAATGCAAACATATTTGGGGTCTTTGCAGCTGTCTCTCAGTCCGTCTGTCTGCCTGTCTTGTAAAACGAAAATCGCGCCAAATTGAGCAACAACTTTTCACCAATTTTCCGCCAAAACAAAAGTTGCTTGTTATATAATTGAAGTCGAAACACATTTCCGGCAACTTTTCATTAGCATTTAAATGAAATTTGATAGAAAGAAAAAAAGGCCTCCGCCGCACAACGAACAAACGAATGTCGACAACAAAAGGCAGGCCAATAATAAAAATGGTGAAAATTTTCATTTTTACAACAAATTATCGCATGAGTTTTCACTCGCCTGGTGGTTGTTGTTGCTGTTGTTATTGTTGGCGTTTTCACCAACAGCAACAAAACATAAAAAAGAAACAACAACAAACAGAGGCGGCAGCAGAAAATGCTCCTTTCACTCGTCCAACAACAACAGCAACAAATGAGTTGAGTGAAAAACGTTTTGAAGAAAAGGAAATGCTTTTCATTTTACACACACACACATGTATAGGCGATGCAAAGATAAATTCAACAACACAGAAACAAGCTGGCAATTTAATTTAAATAATGTGATCTTCCATGCCAATGTAAATGATTTAAAGAAGAAAAGAGAAACTACTCTTAGCGCCTGCTCATCTCTTCACTTCCTCTACTAAATGCAGTAGCAACGACAGCAGCACCAGTAACAATGGCCAGACACCCACCCTATTGGCTCATGCAATTTCTCTTCGACTACGCCTTGCTCATTTATGCTCTTCGTCATCATACGTGCATACATACATATGCACGTCTATATGCATATATGTAGCTACATATGTGTGTGTGTCTTGCGAAGAGGGGGGCCGAGATGTCAACACTTGAGCGCATATCAACTTTGTAAACTCCCACGCTCAAGTTTCGTTTATCGTTAAGTTTCGTTTCGTTTCGCTACGTTTCTTATTTGTTGTTGTTGTTGTTGTTGTTGGTATTTCTTATTGTCTTTGTGTGAAGTCAGTCGTTAATTTCGTTGCGTTGCGTTGCGCTGCGTCCATTTGCCTTTTACGAACGCAGCACCGCGCAGCGCAGTCGAGGCAAAGGCCGACCCATAAGGAGAAAGCTCCTCAGCTTCTCTCTCCCTCTCACTCTCTCTCGCTGCCTCTGCAGTTTTGCTTGCATTTTTCGTGAAAGTCGCTGCCAGCAGCAGCTGCTGTGGCTTCTGTTGTTGCTATTGTAGTTGTTATATAAAATGTATAAAATCATTTAAGTAGAGTGAAATTTGTAAGTTTTGCACTTTTTTTTGCAAACGATTGCAATTATGCATTTGTTTATTACTATTAAAAAGCAAATCTCTGTTATAACGGTGAAAGGCTGCGCTTTGTACAGCAAAGCTTTACAATGAAGCAGCAGCAGAAGAAGAAGATAACAAATATTTACTGTGTTCTACTTCCAAAATGAAACCATTTTCTGGTTATTTTCATAGAGAGTAAAGATCCAGATAAGGAAAATACAGTTGTTGCTCTTACGTAGATGGGATCTTGCTCAATTTTTGACACTTTGTCGGGCCGCATTGCAACATAAACGAAAGTTTACACTAGTTTTGCGTTAATAACGAATAATGACAAAGGGAAAACATATTTCCGTTACGTAAGCATTACAAGCAGCATTGAAATGAGCCGTTGTCAAGCCTGGCCTGGCCTGGCCTGTATTTATTTGTATGGCGCGCACTGTAAGCGCGCAGGCGTGTAGGCGTCAGCTGCGGCTGCGGCTGCCACTGCGAATTTCACCCGACCGCAATGTAACCGAAGCCAGGCGACGTAAAACGAGAGCAAATCGTTGTTCGACACGAATAACGACGAAACGACGACAGCGCTTTATGTAATCGTCAGCGCAGCAGCAACAACAAAAACGCGCGCCAAGCTTGCGGCGAAAAAACTCGTTTGATGACGTAGCGCACACAGTCAAAGCTCGGCTTACATGCGGCCTGCCAGTTCGCGCTCTCTCTCTCTCTCTCTCTCTCTCTCTCGCTCTCGCTGTGGTTTACGTTCAGTCAGCACGTTGCCCGTTGGGGCGATCGCGTGGCGCCTGTATTGTATAATAGTAAAAACGCTTGATTATCATTAGCGTACGTCATTAGCAAACATCATTAATGTGTTGAGCCATGATATGAAATCAATAAATTAATAAACATTTTGTGCCCAATTTTTTACACTGCACAAGAGTTTGGGGCCAAACTTGGACTGTCTATAGTTTTAGTTGTTGCTGTTGTTGGCTTGTTTGCATTTTGCCGCTTTTACCATTTCTCTGCACTTTCTAAACAAATTGTGCGGCGACTGCGACGAAGCGAAAGAAACGACGACGACAAGAAATTGGCTTTCATGCGTTTTCACATTTTGTTTTTGTCGTGCTTTCATTTTTGTTGTTGTTGTTGCCGGATTTCTACTCGCGCCTCTCTATCTCCCTCTCACTCCCTCTTTCGCTCTTTGAATATCTTTTTATTGCCTTAGAAACTTATTTCGTTGTAGAGATTTGTTCTAAATTCAAAATGTGAAAGAGGCGATGATGCTGGGTGAAATGCGTTAAGCAAAGTGAAAACCAAAAATAATAAAAATATTTGTAGCAATGATTTTTATTGATTGGAGCAGACCAGAGCAGAGCAGAGTTCAAACAACTCGAAGCGAATCACTGAGCCACAGCGACGCCTTGGCAACATGTTGCTGCAGCAATCGATGTCTGCCGTTGTTAATTAATTTAATTTTTGAAAGTTTTGCAGTAGTTTTTTTACTTTTAAATAATTTATTAACTACATACATCTACTTATTTGATATTAAAATGAGAAAGTTGCTAGCTTTGGCTTTGGAAACGTTTTCTGATTCGAATTAATATTTTTATTTTTGGCCGAGGCCTAACAACTTGTTGCTGCAACATGTCACATGGGAATTGTATTTGGAAAGTGTTGAGAGAAGAGAGGATCAACAAATGCATACACCACTTGCATAAGCAGAAGCAAAAGCTCTAGACACATGTTGCTAGCGGTCAGAAGAATGAGTCAAGTCACGTCGGACCCTTGCCGCAGGCGCACTGAAGCAAACTTCCCGTTCCGTTTGCGCAGAGGGCGTGTAAAAAAAAACACACACACACACACACATAATTAAACCACAATTCAGTCATTTTGTTGTCCATTAACGAAAATCAAAGCGAAGACAATGCTCCGATATGCTGCTGAACGCAAATGACTCTGCAAGTCTTTCGTTAAGTCAGAGGGAGAGCCAGAGCGAGAGAGAACACATATCGAATTGAGTGCGAATGTGGGGAGAACAAAAAGCAGGAGCGTATGCAAGAGTGGGAGTGCGATAGGGATATATGTGTGTGTTTGTGTGTGCTGTCACTCTGCACCGCACCATTTCTCCCTCCCTCTGTCTCTGTCGCACTTGCACTCTTGTGCCATATGAATCACTTGAATAAAGGGAAATATAAATAACAAATCGCTATCGCCTGCTTCAGGGCCTATCGACCGATTTCGCTGGCGCGACAATTCCCAAGGCTAATTAAAAGCAACAAGTGCATAAAAAGCTAAAATAAAAACCCAATCAGCACTATTCTCAGACCCATTTCGATAAAAAAAAAGAACACATGTGTATGTGTAATGCCACTCAGACAGCTGTTTAGTGTTTCGGTTCTTTCACTTTTCTTTCCTTACAATTGCGATTGGCAACACTGGCAGCAGCTGCCTCAATCTTTTGCTCACGCTCAAGTCTCACTAAGGTCAAAACGTTAACCAATTAAAAGTGGGTTACGCCGAGGTTGCGAACCAAACTAGCACACACACAGAAGTGAACACGTATATGTACGTGTGTGTGTGTGTGTTAGAGTGCAAGTCATCGAAATTAACACAGCAAATAATGTTGGTAAATGCACTGACAATTTGTACAAACAAAATATTTTGTTTGCAGCTAGTCAAGGATGCACGCCACGAATTGCCAGTGTTGTATAAGTATGGTAAAAGCGTGCTAGAGCGAACAGACAGTCAAACTTATGCTTGAAGGTGCATTTTTTGATAAGTAATTTACTTTTGTTAATTTGAATTCTAACTATGAAACTTTCTTTGATTGTTAGTCATATAGAGTTTTTACTGTAGTTAATAGGAATTAAATTTTTATCTACAAGAACAATTTTTTATCAAATGGTTTTTATATAATATGCTATATATTATATTTTCATCGACATATGCAGTTATCGAAATATTTTTATAATATTATTTCATATTTTAGTATGATACACTATATTTATTTTATAGATTTATTGCTGTAGCTCAACAAAATTCAATTTTGATTTTAGCAAACAAACACTTGAAATTTAATGGAATTGAAACTTTGTTCCACTTCCATTTGATTCTCCCTCCCTCGGGTGTACACATACTTATGCACATGACTGTGTATGGAGTTTATTTACCTTTTATCACAGAAATTTGCAGCGGCGTTACAAAACTCCTTCGAATTGGGGCATTTAACTAATAATACTAGGCACAGTGGAGATTGTTGTTGTTGTTGCTGATTGTTGTTGCTGTTGTTGCTGTGATGATGATGATGATGATGTTGGTGGTGTTGTTGTTGCTGCTGGTGGTTGTGTTGTTGTTGGTGCTGGAGGTGATGCTGGCTGCTGTGGCTTTGATGTTGCTGCTGTGCAGGATGAGCGCAATTAAAATGCGGCTGCTGCTGCTGATAGTGCGATGAGGAGGGAGACGATGATGACGACGACGACGAAGAAGAAGAAGAAGAAGTGGAGCTATTGCTCGCTGAGGATGAGGCAGAGTTGTGGCTGCTGCTGCTGCTGCTGCTGTGTTGGTGATGTTGCTGCTGATTGAGATGCCGACGTATCGATTGATTAATGCGATTCGTAATTGAATTGGTCAAAGCGGAATGATGGCTATGCAGATGATGATGCGGCGACAGCGAGCTGGAGGAGGCGCTGCTGCTGCTGCTGCTGCTACTGCAGCTGGCGGTGGATGAAGTGGGGCCAAAGAGGCGGCTGGCAATGATGCTGTTGCTGCTACTGCTACTGCTACTGTTGCTGCTGCTGCTGCCGTTGCCGTTGCCGTTGTAGTGCCTGTTGCCGGCACAGGCGCTGCTGCAATTGTTGCTGGAGGAGGAGGAACTTTGTGCGCGCGTTAAAATGTTTTGTAAGTTGCTGTTGTTGCTGCTACTGCTGCTGCTCGTGCTGCTGCCACTGCTGTTGTTGTTGCTGAAAGCAGCCTGCAATATGCTGCTGGGTGTTGCCAAATGTTGCGCCAGTGTTGCTGTGCCACTTCTTGTTGCTGCCGCTGCTGCTGCTGCTGCTGCTGCTGCTGCAGTTGCTCCACTTTCGTAATTCAGGTGACCCAAATGTTGTTGCAAAACTGAAGTTGCTGCCGCTTGTTGCTGCGGGTGCTGCTGCTGTTGCTGCTGCTGTGGCGATGGTGGCGACGGCGGTGGCGGCGGCGTTGGCGTTGGCGTGCTCACAGCAACAGCGTGTGGGTGTTGCGGCAACGCCGATGCTGACGTTGACGTTGATGTCGACGTCGACGTCGATGCCTGCGTCGTCGTTAGCGACGATCTGCGCAGTAATACTGGAGGCGTTGATATCAATTGCTGCAAGCGGCTGCAGTTGTTGCTGCTGCTGCTCGCTGCTGGCGTCTCTGCCAATGCGCTGCTCAAAGCGCTGGCAGCGGCAACATTTTGCGTTCCACTTTGACAGCAACAATTATCACTTGAAATTTGTTGCTGCTGCTGTTGTTGCTGTTCTTGTAGTTGCTGTTGCTGTTGCTGCTGCTGCTGTTGTTGTTGTTGCTGCTGTTGCTGTTCCAAATTCACATCGACAACAAGATTTTCATTTTGATAGATTTCGTGCAGATTTCGCTTTTTTTTTATTTTTACATACGGCTCGTACATTTTATAATTGAAAATTTGCTCAATTATTGTTGTTGTTTTTCCTCTTTTTTTCTCTTGGTTTTTTGTTTTGCTTAATTTGCTTAGAAACTTGTTATGTATTCACATTTATTCGCACAAAAGCACAAAGCACATGTATCAAAATTAATTATTTAGATTTATCTAATTTTCGGGGGCTTTTTTTCAACCGTTCGCCGTTTAGATTACTTTAAATTTGTTTTCTAATTTAACGAAACTTTATTAATGCATATTTATTGCAACACTTTTTATTGAAACCCTGTTGTTGTTGCTGTAGCAGCTGCTAATTTGGCCGTCAACTGCTTTTATTTTATTTTACTTTACTTTTTTCTGTGTTTAGCGCACGCAATTGACAACGAACCACAACCGCTTCGCTTGAAAGTTTGCGGAGAACTGAACTCAGTGTAGCCAACTGAGCAACGGTTCGGGTGACTGCTGTCGACGTCGCTGCCTGCTGCTTGCTGCTCACTGCTCGCTGCTCGCTGCCTGCTGCTGCTGAGTGAGCGGAGCGGACTGTCCGATTTCAATGCTCGGTGAATTTTTGGTGTCGACGTTGACAGCGCTGCTCGCAACGTTTCATTTTTCGTTTCGTTTCACTATGTAACAAAATCGACGCTGCAGCAGTACGACGTACTGTGTCGAAATGTACACACACACACACACACACACACACACATGCGCACATATTTAGACTAGTCAGAGCACACACATAGCTACACCTACACTCTCCACGGTTAGTCAAGTGAGAGGCGTTGGTGGGGCGCTTTGTGTGAGGTCGATTAGCGTATGGGAAAGGAAGCAAAGTCGGCGGCGACACTGAAAAACCACTGAGCGCAACTGCGGAGAGAGTGCGCCAGCTATCGAGCGAGCAAACGAGCGTGCGAGAGGGCGAGAGCGAGAGCGAGAACGAGAGCTAGCTGAGGGCCAACGGCAGCTGATAATTGTATGTATTCAAGTGTGCGTGTGCGTGTGTGAGGCTGATGACGAGGGCGAGGCGAACGAGGCCATGGCATGATGATGGCTGATGGGACAGCCAGGCCAAGCTGGAGGTCCTTCCAGCAGCAGATAAGCCTTAATCATTTAGTCACAGAACCAGCAGCTCTTCAATTGAACCGCCGCGATGGCCTTGCTGCTGCCCGTTGCCGTTGCCATTGCTTTGTACTGCTGCTGCTGTTGCGGCTGGCTTATCGGCGCTTCCTACTTTACATCAAAGTGCGCGACGGCTTCAGCTTCGATTGCACATATCGTTTATGCTCTCTCTTCCCTGTGCCGCTCGTACGGTAACTCGCGTGACTTTGCTTCGGGGGTGTATGATGGCATTACGTTACGTTATGTTACATGACGTTATGCTATGTGTATACACTAAGGGAAAGAGCATATTTTTACACACCACGTTATTTGTTAATATTATTTTTATTATACTGTAATTGCAGCAAACCAAATAAAATTGAATTTTCAGCCTTAGTTTTCTGCAAGTGTATATATCTATGAATGTACATATGTATGTGTGTATATGTACGTATGTATGTACATAGGCATAGGTACATACTATGTATACGTAACTATGTATAAGCCCAGGGGCGTTGTCGGCAACGCATGTCACGTCGTTTGCAGCCGTCGTCGTCTTCTTCTTCTTCGTCTCAGTTTTCGTCTTCGTCTTCAGCCGTTGCCGTTGCCGTTGCCGTGGCCCACCCAAATAGAAACAGCCAGCCGGCTCATCACTAAACTCCACCATTCTCTCTCTTTCGCTGACTCGCCGCTCTCTCTTCGCATCGCTTTGCCCACTCAACACATTCGTTTCATTTATGGCGTGCAAATTAGCATCGGCCGCAGGGGCATCGTGTGTGGTTCGCATGTCCTTTAGCTCGGGCCACACATCAACTACAACTACAACGACAGCTACTGTATGTCGGCTTATGTGTTTGTGTGTGTATATGACTTTGTCTCTGTCTCTCTCAGTAGCGTCTGCCAATCTGTTGCCCATTAGTCGGGTCTGGGCATCATTTGAATGTGTGAAAATTTGACAGTTATGCGTCGTTTGCTTTGAAGTTGCAAAGGCCGAAAACTCGAAAGACGAAAGACGAACAGCGCTATGGCTATTGAAAGCTGGGCGAGAGTTGCGATTGCGTTGAGTTATCGATAGATGGGCGGGAGGCAGGAAAAGTCTTTAACGCTGACAGACTTCGACTCTGCCTCGGTCTCTGTCTCTGTCTCTGCCAATGAAATTGGCTAATTTCTGCTGTCGAGCAAATTAAATTAAGAAAGTCATTTTGCGCGTCTGTCTTTTCTCTAAGGTTCTTTCAATTAAAACATCTTTTTTTCACTTTGTTGTTTTTTTTTACATCTATACATAAATTAGATTCTCATCAGCGTACGAGCCATCACTTCCCACACAGCAAGCAAACGCGCCTTATTGGGCGAGAGCGACTCAAGTTCAGTTTGATTATTCATATACATACATTTATATGCTATATAATATTAAAGGCCATTCCACGTCCATTGGCCTTTGACCACTTCCTTCAATAGCGGAAATAACATAACTGGTTCACCTTTCGATGCGATTTGGTTTTCGTTTTGGTTTGCTGCTGAGCTAGCCCCGCCTCCACCGCCACCGCCACCTCCACTCCGCCTGCGCCACTGCCCGGCCCCTTCAATGCTTATCGATTATTAATATCGACTTTCACAAATGTGAAGAGCTAGCTTACAATTAATCGATTTTCTATAAGCTGTTAATAGAAATTCCTATCGCTCATCGTATGCATGTGAATGTGTGTGTGTGTGTGCAAAAGCGCATGCACATGATTTACTTGACACTAATTTCCATAAATAAAACAAAAAGTTCAATAAAAACACAACACCTCCCAGCCCACCCTACTGCCTCCTCGCTCTCTATCTCTCTCTATCCACGCTCTGTTAGCGCTTCAATGAATGGATGGCTCTCTGACAATAACCCAATTTTCACTAGCAACAAAGCAAAATACTCACACACACGCATGCACATCTGTGTACGTGTGCGTGTGCGTGTGTGTTGACCAAGGCAAGCAGCGACGCTGTCATCGACAGCGACCGCAACGTCATCTCATTCGAATTTGAATTCACATTCTCATTCTCATTCTGATTCACATTCTCATTCTCATGGCTCATGGCTCATCGTCAGCTGCTTCTTCTATGTTTGACAATATTTAAAAGCTAAACTGAAGTTTGAAGCTTTTGTAGCTGCGACGCGAGCAGTGCGTGGGCAGCGATGCCACCGCCGCCGCCGCCGCCAGCACTACTGAAAGTGTTAATTGATTTTATTGGCTACGAGCGCTGCTTAACTGCGCTGCTGATCGATGCGTCTTAAAATAAACTCGCACGCATGTGGAACGAGTTGGACAGGCTTCAAATCCACACAGCCGCTAAGTGTGTAAGCGGAGAGAGCGAGTTGGCGAGAGAGAGAGAGAGGGGGAGTGTGAGAGGGGGCAGACAGACAAATGGAGTTGTAAGCGCGTCCAAATACATTCACACATTGCGAGAGAGCGCTGCCCAAACGCCGTGGGATAACTTAACTTCCGCACTCGTGCCGAGGAATGGAGTGAAACTTTGAGTTTTTTTTTTCGCTATTTTGTTTTTTCTTTTCGTAATCACTTTGCTCACAACAGCAACAGAAAGAGCAACAGCAATTGCCGTTTCGGTTGCAACTTTTTACTTTGGGTTTTTTTTTTGTGTGTGTGTTTCGGTCTCGCTCGTTTCGTTTCTATTAATTTACATTTGAAATTTTTCATAATCTTTTGTGGCTGATCCATGTAACGAAATGAGTGAGATTGGAGCGTGCGCTATTTTCCGCATTTCACACACACAAACACACATTTATGTATATATGTATGTATGCTTGTATGTATGTGTATAAATATTTGTGTCGATTTGTTGTCGTCATCAATTGACCAAAATTTCAAACTTTCGAACAAAGATTTCGAATTACGATTTTTCGATTTCCATTTACCTTTTAGCATACGCATAAAATTTAGTAATGTTTTTTTTTTTTCACTTCTTTTTTCTTTTGTTCATCTGTCACGCGCCCATTGAAACTAGTTCAGCGATAATTCATAGAGTTTATTTATTATTTTGATTCGATGTTTTTACCGCTTCCTCTTCTTCTTCATTTCTTTACTTTATTTTATTTTATTCCATTTTTCCCTGCTGTTGGTGTTTCTTTCTTTTTTTTTTCTGGTTTTTAGTTTTCGTAACCAGGTTTTAGGCTGACCAAAGTGAGGGAAAAGTGTCGAAAAAATGCGTGTCGAGTCTCGACTTGGCCTTGGTTTATTATGGTTTATGCTGCTTTCGTCGATTATACAATAATATCCGACGCGACCCAATGGAAATAACTCGCTCGCGAACGAGCTCGTCTCTTTTATTGAACACCCTTGCGAGTGGCGGGTATGATAGACTTCCCATACAATATGTTTGTGTATATATAAACAGTCTTACGTGTTTTAGGTTTGCCTGCCAGCGTACGTAAGCATACGTCGAATAGGTCGCATACTTCGTAACGTTGCAGTACGTTTCTTTCGCTGGCCTACTTCATCTTATCTTATACGTAATGTGTTACTAGTTATACGTAATGTGAACTATTAAGCTTCTCTATATCACCTGTTGTATGCCTTACGTTACAGTTACGTTGAACTTTCTTGTACCTTCTTACGTTTTTCTTGCATATATTTGTTTACTTCAATATATCATTAAGCCATTTCCTGCTCCTATTCTATGACAATCCAATCTCTTCTATAGAATCTATAGAATTTCGTGTTTTGTTTGTCCGACTGCAAAATTTTACAGCTCGAGCTGATAATAATTTGTCAAAGCGAGTCCTAAGCCAGGTTTTGCCACCTGATCTTATCACTCATTTGGCCATCGAAAGGGAACACCCACGAATGGACCGTAAGATGTCAAAACAACAATCATTAATTTGATTGTCCTCTGGCTCAGGTCACTGGGTGGGCAAAAAG